ACGCTGCGATCCGAGAGAGAGAGATGCATGATGAAGGATGATGATGACCGATGATGGTGGTGGATTGAGGCACCAGGTGGTTGGTAGGAGGGGGGGGGTGGCTACTAGTAGTAGTAGTAGTAGTAGTAGTAGTAGAAGTAGTAGTAGTAGTAGTAGTAGTAGAAGTAGTAGTAGTAGTCGTCGTCGTCGTCGTAGCAGTATAGCAGTAGCAGACGTAGCAGTCGACTTCGTCGTCGTCGTCGTCGTAGTTGTTGTTGTTGTGCGGCTGCGGCCGTAGCGGTACCGTAGCAGTAGAAGCAGCTGTAGCCGCAGCCGCAGCCGTAGCGGTGGCGGCAGCCGTATCACGATGGGCATCAAGCTCGGAAATGAAGGTGCGAAAGGTCAGGAAGCTCCATGTTTGCCAGGACTCGGGTTCTGTCTCCTCGACGACATCGCCATCTTCGACTGCAAAGATTAAATCGTACCTGAGGGCTTTGAGTGACCGCAAGCCACCGCTTGTGCGTTTGCTTACAGTGGCTTCAGTCGTAGGCTTGAACCCGTGCGGGCTGCAAAAGCGAACAATGCTTCGAGGGTTTGGCATCACCGATCGTGTCGGATCAAGGTTTGGCGTTCTGCGTGGAGCAGACATTGGCGAAGATTAAATCTGAACACCATAGCTTCTGAAACTAGCAAAGCCTGAGGTGGCACCTTGCAATGCCAAAACCATGACTCACGACAGGTTTGCAAGCCTGACACATGTTACCTCTTGGGTTTGATCTCACACCTCAGCTCGTTAGTCACCTGTCAAAGTCCCAAAATGCTGTCTCGACCAGGTTGCTTGCCCTCCGCGCCGACCCGATATGACTTCTTCTCGCCATGGTCCCACTGCACTTTGATCCAGCGAAGTGGCATGTCCTTGGATGTCGGCTACCCGAAGTTTGGAAACCCAATTCCAGACCAAACCTGCAAGCAGCCTGCATCGTCATCCCGATATGTCTGTTGGAACACGGCAAAACGAGGGCTAAGCCGACTCGCAGCAGCAGTAGGAACGAAAGCACGGAGTTGAACGATTCCTTTTGGGGAGGGGGTAGTGTTTAAGGTAAGAAAGGTGAGAAACATAAAAGCACATGCTGCATCTACGATGAGCAGAGTGATGCTGCATAACAGGAAAGTTGAGACGAGCCGGGTGGCGAGTATCTTGGGAATCATGTGATCACGACGATGAAAAGCCGATGACCTACAACGACGGAGACGACGACGACAACAGAAAGAACAACAACATAATAATAAAAAACGCACCTCTACGACCGCCCTGACAGCGGTGGCAGTGGCGCCAGCGGCACAAGCGCCATTGAGAATTCACCGCAACCATCACCATCATAACCCAAAGCTCCAGAGTGCAACTGCCAGAACTGGATGGAGAGGAGGGTTGGGGCCGGGTGGCCGGATCAGAGTCCACCACGGTGGTGCCCCAGTTTCCAGCACCTCCATCTTGGTTCCCCCACTTCCAGTCCTCGACAGCCCGGCTGATTGAGTATGGCACGGCGATGTCACTGGTATCTTACGCTTGGCGATTTCTGAGCGGTGTTGATGCTTGAAGTTGCTCAAAAAGTTCTGTACAAACACAACCGAACATTGGAAGGCCGCGGCTCCGGCCCCCTCCGCACCCGCACGCCGATGCGCTGCTCTTTGAGGACCACGTCCTCCCGAGGATTCTGAGAAAAGTCTGGAGGCTGGAGGGCTTGCGCCTTCGGGGTTTCAGCTCTTGGGGCTACGGCTTGACTCAGTTGTTCGCAGTCTTACACGAGCAAAGCTAGGTTTCAGGCTTTTGAGAGGAGGACCTGGACGATTCGGCTCCCAGAACTTTGTCGGGCTTCATTTTTTGCGAGTTGAGCCAACTGTCGCTGCCAGCATCTGGTCGACCGATGCACCCGAGCCGACTTCTTGGTTCTGATGTCGACATGGGCTGGAAGCAGATCCCGAGCCGACTTCTTGGTTCTGATGTCGACATGGGCTGGAAGCAGATCATAGCTCAGCGAATCTACTCGAAGGGCAACGCCGAACCTCAAAACCCAAGAACTCGCGCCCTCGTTGACACGAGTTAAAAAAAAACGACTCAACAACAAAACCGATCGCAGATGGAACCACAAAGCTTGGAACACATTGTCAACATCGACCTGACAAGAACGCCCTCCATGTCCAGCTTGCATGATGCTGAGTGAGAGTCTTTCAAGCAGCAACTCATGTCAGCACGCATCCTCCTTGGGAACGAAGGTCACTTGCCGGGCAGCAACGTTCAAGCAGGGGTTCTGACGCAACTCCTGAAACAGGTGGAGGCTTTCGGAGGAGTCTGCAAAATCAAGTTGCAGAGCTAGAGTTGTCAGGTCGAGACGAACAAGAAAGCCATGCTAAAATCTTCCCAAGTGTCGTAAGCGGCAAAGCGGATGCGAACGAAGCCCTCCGGAACTGTCTCCTGATTTGGGCTTTGTGCGCGGAGCTTCTGTGGCTGTGTTGGACCGACTTGGCGAGATTGAAATTAGTCATCTTGCACACTGTCCGAAGCTCACGACACTTCTTCATCTTCGGCCTGAAGCGGAAAATCCTCACGACCTGAACTACCGAGGCTTCCCCTTTGCTCAAGGATCGTCGTTGCCATGGCCTGCACCATTGAATCTCCAGCCAATCAAGACCTTCGAAGCTTCGGGCTCTGCGAAGGGGCTCCGGGTTTGCTGCTCTCGAAGCGAGGGCTACATGTGCATAATGCTCACACATATACATATGTACAGCCACATTCCACATGAAGAATGTAGATGCTTGGTAAGAAAACCTCTTCCGATTCTTTTGACCCAGGGACTCCGACTCCGTTCTGCACGTCGAGCACATTGACATTGAGCCTTTGATTCGAGGCGAAGATTCCGAGAGTGAGGGTCTGACAAACCGTCCAGAGAACCCCCTTGCTACCATGAACTTGGAGCTACTCCGTACACCTGCTCTCGGGAAAAACACATTGGCGCCGTGCGCTGCTGCGTGAGACGACCTGGAGTCTCAAGTCCGGGCCCTGGGATCTCTGCTGGGGAGCGCCTACTTCTTGAAACGCCCACACAAGCTGCACTCCCGATGGAAACGCCGAAGACGAGATGCGCAAGATCAGCGTGCAGCTCGCTCCCTGCAAAGCAGGAACACTCGAGACCCCGCAAGCCCTCTGACTCTGCGCTGCAGGCCCGCAATTCACAACCGCCTGACCTGCCGCAGGAAACATTCCCACACGCCCTCCCCAAACACGTGGGGGAATCACCATTTGGATAGATCTGGGATTTTAAAGTGCCAAAATGGGGATTCCCGCGCTTCCCTCCGTAGTGTAAGAAAACGCTTGTCGTTGTGGTTGGACAGCTTGTCAGTGTGCACCTAAACCCTGTCGTGGTAAGGACGTCTCTGCGGTAAGGCATGATGGCTTCAGCCGGCTGCCTGAGATGATGGGCTGCGGGCTGCTTGATGCCTCCTGAGAATCCAGCCATGCTGTCGGGATGAAGCACCGGAACGCTCGACACAGAACCGGGAACTGAAGGCTTCGACTAACTTAGAAGGCGCTTGGGGTCACCGAATGATGACAGCCCGAAAAGGCCAAGACAGTCTGCAGGTGTCTCGAAAAGAATGTAAGTCGAAGACCAGTTTGCTCGTGACACTACTTTGCTATATTGTGATAAGGACCATCAGAAAACATGCTCCTGTTGCCAACGCTAGTAGTGCTTGTGCTGCTGCTGCTGTTGCTGCTGTTATTATGACTCTTGTCGTTCGCCTTTCTGTCTAAGCGTTGCCCCGTACTCGAGAAATCATTTCGAGTGCTGTGACGATGGATATGGCTGCCGTGAGTACGATGTCTGCGACGCCCACAGCTGTTCAACCTCCTCCTCCTCCTCCTCATCCTCCCAACAACAACAACAGCAACACAGCAGCAGCAACTTTTGATTGAACGCTGTGCGAGCGGGCTCCACGCATGTAGCAGCAGCATCAGCAGCAACAACAACAACAACAGCAGCAACAACCACAATCACAACCACAACCACAACCACAACCAGCAACCGACAACCACCAACCACCAACTACCAACCTACAAACAACAGACAACAAACAAGCAACACACAACAAACAAGCAACAAACACCAATCACGAGAACCACAACAAGCATAACAACCACAACAACCACCAACAACCACCAGCAATCACCAACAACCACCAGCAACACTTAAACCACCAACAACCACAAACAACAACAGCCACAGAAGCCACTAACAACCAGCACAGCCGCCAACAACCACCCGCACCCCCACCAGCAACCAACAACAACCAATAGCAACCACCAACACCACCCCCCCAACAGCAACCAACAACAACAAGAACAACAACCACAACAGCACCAACAACCACCACCATAACCACAACAACAACAACCACAAGCACAAGCACAACCACAACAACTACGACCGCGACCACGACAACGACAACGACACCGACAACGACACCGACAACGACAGCGACAGCGACAGCGACAGCGACAGCCACAACCACAACCACAACAACCAC